TGAGTATAAAGGGAACTGTTGGTGCCACGTCCTGGTTGCAGGAGTCAACGTTCTCATTCATGATTGAGAGAAACCAACTTGGATAAGTGGTTTGCTGTGAGAAGCTTATTTGCATTGCCTAGGTTCGTAGTAATTGCTGCCAGAGAACTTACGTATTTGTTTAAGAGCCGAGGTGGCACAGTGGTTAGAATGCAGTACTGCAGGGTAATTCACTGCTCACTCCAGGAGTTCAAGACCAACCAGCTGAAGGTTGACTCAGCCTTCCATCCTTCCAAAATCTGTAAAACGAGGACCCAGATTGTTGGGGGCAATATGCTGACTCTGTAAACCGCTTAGAGTGGGCTGTAAAGCACTGTGAAGCGGTACATGTCTTAAGTGATTTGCTACATACTATATACCATGTTTCTCCCAAAATAAGGCAGGGTCTTATTTTCTTTTGACCCCTGAAATAAGCGCTTGGCCTTATATTTTGGGAGGTCTTATTATATTTGAGGTGCAGGAGAGCGCGAGCATGGTCACCTCATGGCTGCTGCTCTGCTGCAATATTTTCACGGTGGGCTTATTTTGGGGGGAGGGCTTATTTCAGTGCATGTGCTCAAAAGCCTGATTGGGCTTATTATCCAGGGAGGTCTTATTTTCAGGGAAACAGGGTAGTTGTCTAGACTGTGTTTCTATAAATTGGTGTAGAGAACGTCTATTTCTAAACAAATACGATAATTTTTTTCTTGTACTTAGTCATGTCCAATTCTCAGAGACTGCCTGGAAAAGAAGATTCCAATTATTATTATTTTTTGGGGGGGCAAGTTTTTTCCAGAATGGTTGGCCATTGCCCCCTTCCCAGGACTGAGAGAAAGTGATTGACTCAAGGCCACCCAGCTGGCTTTGTGCCTAAGGCAGAACTAAAACTCATACCTGTTGCCTTACTCCTTACACAAATCTGGCTCTCTTGTTTGTTTGTGTTTGTACAGATTGTATCTATTAGTGTTGAGTAGGTCTATTTCTAACCAAATAAGGTAACTAGTGGCTTGGAAAACACAACACTGAATTATGAGCCAAAGCTTCAAATACAGATTACAATTACACAGTTGAGACTAATTTCTACATTTCACAATATATGTTACTTCAGTGCATTTAAGTCACATACATCAAGAACTGGTATGGATGAATTCATTTTTATTAAAATGTATGAGAATATTGTATTGTAATACACAGTTGAGCATCCTGGATGTTTTGATTTCACAGAAGAATCGCTTTAGGTGTTATTCATTTTATTACATGGATAGTCCAAAAAGCAACTCTTCATCTTTCAGAGAATTGTACATACAACACCATTACACAATACTTCATAAGAACTGAGCTTCTTTTATTATGTTTCCATTTGTTTTTGAACAGATAATACCATCAGTAAAGAAGCTGGCAGAACAGAGTGATTGCAAGTGTTCTCCAGCTGAGATTTTGAGAATGGAAAGAATCATACTTGATAAACTTCACTGGGATCTTTACACAGCAACATCAATGGATTTCTTAAACATTGTAAGCGTTAAACCTTTTGATGGTTAAAAGACTAAGCTGACTTTTTTAAAACATTAGTAAACATGTATTCCTTTCTAGTTAGCCTGACAAGTTAAGCATTCGCAGTTACCTGCAAGTATTTCAAAGTGTATTTTTTTTACCACAAAGATAATAAATTTCCATTTTGAACATTCTACTTATTCCAAACACTTAAGCTGATTTACGAATGTAAATTCCCATTTTGAAAGGACAACTGAAATGGATGTTTAAAAGAGATACTCATACTGTTCACTAGAGGTCTTTTTTTTTCTTTTTCTTTTCTTTTGCACGCTGCAAAAATATTTTTAACTATCTGAATCTTAATACTGTACGTAAAAAACTTTCAAAATTTTTGCTACATTTCACAAATAGGTCATCTCAGATCAGCCTTTTTTTTCCACCCTGCATAAATGCACTTGACCCTCATTTTAGTTAAAATAGATCATTCTGATCTGGCACTTAAGTCATATATCTTAACTGCTAAACATTTATAGAAAGAAAACTTCCTTTTAAGAAATTACTATGTGCTATAGTAAGGCAAAAAATCAAGTGATACAACAGTGTCTTAATGCTCCTCCTTTACCATAAACAAGTAGGGTTTTTCCCTCCCATCCTGGAGAATTTCGGAAAAACATCCTGTTTTAACCAACCAGGATATTACCTTTATATGCCTATATGAGTGATTTTTACCACTCTCATTTATTTCTTTGTGCTGGCTTGAATATCACTATTTTATTATTTATATAAATAAAAGAGAATTTGGACTTTCTGAATTTCCAATTGCGACAATGCAATGAATTCAGAATTAGTTACATTCAGTGTAAGCTTAAACATCTCAATATTTGGCAAATACGACACAAATTATAACAATGGAACATAATAATCCCAGTTTAAACCTCTGGCTGACTGTGCGACCAACCATTATAATAGATTTTAGAGGTTCTTGCCATTAATAAGAATTAGTTTGCACTTCTGGTCAATGACATAGGAAAACGTACAAAGTTCATTTATTCATATATATATATGAATGATATAATATAATATACTGATTCTCTTCTCTCCAGTTCCATGCCATGGTGATGTCCAAGTGGCCCCAACTACTAACTAGGCTACCTCAGAGGAATCCTTCCCGCCATGCTGCGTTCTTGACCAAGCAGCTACAGCACTGTATGGCCTGCCACCAAGTGTTGCAGTTTAAGGGCTCCACACTGGCCTTGGTGATCATCACCTTAGAGTTGGAGAAGCTGACTCCTGACTGGTTTCCTGTAATTACCGATCTGCTAAAAAAAGCACAGGTAGGAGTCAGGTTGGCCCCTGCAGCTTAAATTGGAGACCAACACCACGTTTCAAAAAGCAAGCAAGCAAGTTTAACAAGTGGTTGGAAAACATTGCACGTTTTAAACAATGTATTTTTCAGGAATGCTTTGCAAGTAGTTGTTAGGATGCTGTTTCTGTCCAATGCAAAAGATCAGGTTAGTTTAATGGGATTTAAGGTTCTGATGAATTAAAATCATTAGTGGGTTATATGGAACCATGGCGTCATGCTTAGCTTAGTTCGTATTTTCAGGTATTCCAGATGTTCTTACCTCAACCAGAGCATTGCCTCTGCTCTGGCAATATGTGAGCACCAGTGTCTTTAGCCTCCTATAGAGTTTAGCTTTATAACCCGTTCACATTTCTCGCAGCCATGTAATAGGTGGCTTAGTGAACCCAGGAGTTGGATCTTTTAATTTCTTTATTACATCAATTTGTGTAGCCACCCATCTTGCAGTTGTGATTCTGGACAACAAATGCAGGATTCAAACCATAAAACAAAAGCAAAGCAACAAGTAATAACAATAATGGTGCCCAAGGTCTTAGGAAATTTAAGGGTGGCCAGTTTGGCTATTAGCCAATGACATAATATATGAAACTATAATGTTTCATAGTTAACACTATGAAAATCAAAGCTATGAAACATTATAGTTTAATTCAGAACTTTGCTTTACTGTGTGCGTTATGCAGACTTCTTGAAGACAGAAATGAAAGCCTTCTATTGTGCTCCCATTTCCCTGTCCTCTTGAGTGGTTTAATACTTGCTAAATAAGGTAAAGGTTTCCCTGACCAATAGTGACAACTCTAGGACACAATTCTGATTTTCATTTCTTGCCCAAGAAGCCAGCCTTCTCTGAAGACATTTTCTGTGGTCTTGTGGCCAAAGGCACAAGACTTTGACTATATGCCAAAGGCATGCAGGATGCTATGGTATGTTCCCAGCAAAGTGGTACCTATTTATCTACTTGCACTTGCATGCTTTTGAACTGATAGATGGGCAAGAGCTGGGGTAGGAACTGGAACTCACCTTGTTGTGCGGCGCTTAACTCTTGAACCCAGGCTGTCAGCTTTCCAGCTGACAAGCGCAGTGTCTTTAACTGCTAAGCCATCGTCCCCCCTTGCTTAATACCAAGGTACCATTTAGTGAAAAAAATATAATGCATCTCTTATAACTCCCACAATTTTAGGGGTTCTTTGATGGTTTAAAGTTCTCATGAAACAGGGAACCTGTGATTCTCCCATTGTTGTGCAGCTATATTTCCAGCTCAGATGGCTAAGGATAATGGATAAGGCTTTGCTTTATCTAGCCTTTGCTTTCTTGTCTGCCTTGTTCCATCATAGTGTACTTGCACAATAATTTGAAAACAAAAGATAGGCACAGCATTTTTTTTGCCATGCTAGGCAAAAGATAAGAGGCTGTGGCTAAAAAATAAACCACATTTGCTGTATAATACTTCCGTTGGTTCCGAACTCATTCCACACCATTTATCTTGAGTGAGCAGCAGTTTTAAAACAGAGCATTCACCCTAATTGTGGTTTATAGTACATTCACAACATTAAAAAAAATTCTAACATGCAAAGACATAAAAGCTTCACATTAAGTGTGAACTCAGCCAAAGCATCTCTAGTTTTTCCATTTGTTGGCGCTGAGTCCAAGGATAGACTTGTCTGGTTTTGTAGAGCAATTTGCTGGAATTACTGGAATTAAATGGAGAAACTTTTAAAAAATAAATTACTGATAGCACCTAAAAATTAAGGAAACGAGAGGAAAATGGTTTTATCACATTATATTTGTATTACGCGGCAGATTGACAGCACCAAATTCATCCACTGCAAAGAACTTGTGGATCAGCAGATCCTGGGCTTCCAGCTACCCAATGCTGTCTACATTTTCAACCCTGCAAATCGAAACATCCAAACTCACCTGGCTGAAGGATTACCCTACTATTATCCCATGGAGAAGAAAGAAATGCAGTTTAACATGCAAGCTTCACTCTTCAGAGGCAAGGTTTATGAGGCTGACTTGCAGAGTGATGAATTCTATGATGGGTTCAAGTACTTGTACAACGAAGATGGGACCTCAGAAGCTGGACCAAACAGTGAGATGGGAAGTGATGATATTCAGGGGCCAGAAGAGAGTATCAATGCTTGCCCGCCATTACAACCTGCTCCTCATATTGATTAGAGGTTCACATAGAGCAAAAAAAGGAACCAAATACTAGACAAAGCCAAGGCTATTTCTAATATTTCATTAGTGAGGACTATGTATTAATCCAAAGCATTGCCTATGCCAGTGATGGCAAACCTTTTTGGAACCGAGTGCCCAAATCGGAAGATGCATGTGTGTGTGCCAAAGCGCCAAAAACTCAAAGACCAGCTGGCCGGTGCGTGCATGCTGGTTTTTTGGCTGTTTTTGGGCTGTTTTGGGGCCACTTTCAGGCTGTTTTGGGGCCATTTTCAAGCCATTTTTGGGACCATTTTCAGGACTTTTGGGGGCTGTTTTCAGGCTGTTTGGAGGGGGCATTTTCAGACCATTTTTTAGCTTGAAAAAAGACCCCAATAAGGGCCCCAAATGGCCTGAAAAACAGAGCAGATGTTGATGACAACCGTGCCCACAGAGAGGGCTCTGTGAGCCAACTCTGGCACGCGTGACATTGATTCGCTGTCACAGGCCTATACAGTAGCTTTCAACTTTCTATTTTTTTAAAAAATTCTTTGGCCAAACTTGTTTTGATTAGATCAAAATATAATCTAAAAAGGACATATTTGGACTGTGAACAACTGCAAGGCAAAACCTCAGATGTCCCACACTTAAAAATATTGATGGGGGAACAATAGGGACTTGTTTAACATCTTAGGACAGCTTAAGTTGTTGGTTAATACAGATAGTCCTTGACTTATGATCACAGTTGAGTCCAAAATTTCTGTTATTGTGGTATTTGTTAAGTGAGTTTTCCTCATTTTTATGTCCTTCCTTGCCTCAGTAGTTAAGTGAATTGATAAGTTGGTAATCCGGTTTTTAGGCGGATCTGGCTTTCCCATTGGCTTTGCTTGTCAGAAGGTCCCAAAAGCAGATCCTATAACCCCGGGACACTGCAATCATCGTAAATATGATCCAGTTGCCAAGTGTCTGAATTTTTATCACATGATCATGGGATGCTGCAAAGGTCGTAAATGTGAAAAATGGTCATAAGACACTTTTCTCAGTGGTGTTTGAATGATCATAGATGAACTCTTATAAGTCAAGGACTACCTGTATTCAGAAAGTAGCTTGGTTTTTGTTAGGTAAGCTCCCCGTTGGGAGAGCGAGTATGTTCAGAGAAGCGTTGTGAGAGTTGTGTTGGAGACCACACAAACCAGCATACAGAGACACTGCAGTTTAAATAGGCTTTTACTTTCGTTGAAATAGAGGTATCAGAGTCCATCAAACAGTCCAGGTCATATCACAAGGAAGTGATAACTGGTTTGCTCTTCATCTGATGTACATTTTTGTCTTGACCTTAGCCTGTTTATTGCTCTGAACATTATGAAATGGTGTTGCCAGTTTGTATTCCATTTCCACGGAGAAATTAATTGCCTCTAAACCACATCGGTTTTATATTCTGTGAACTGAATCTTGGAACAGAAAACATCCAACCGGAAAGAGTATTATTATCTTTAGTTCTTAGCTTGACTGTGCATGCTTCAAAAATAATTTGAAGATCATTTGAATGTGTGCACAATCACAATATCTCTCTGCTATTCATTTTTTTCAGGTTGCTGCATGGATCTGGAAAATCTCTTTTGTGTTCAGAGTTGCAGTATCTTAACAAGTCAGCCTGTTAAGGCAGCACCATCTCATTTTCAACCTTGTGCATCATACTTGATGTGGCTGCTTTAATGAATAGAAGAGAGACCCCATATTTATATAGATTCCAATATATTCCTGAACAGTGCTATGTTCTTGGGCAAGTTTCTTTCTATATAAGCTTTATCCATTTGCTTTCTCAGACATTTTGTGGCTGCTTTCTCTCCTCATGATCATCTCAAATTCCAGTGAGGACTAACTGTCCAAGGGACTAGTACAGCAAAATGGTGCAAAATGAGCAAGGAGATGTTTATCATAATTTATACATCCTAACCCTTACCTTCTCCCAATGCAGCTAGTTTTAATATATTGATTTTGAAAAGGTATTTAGATTGGCCTGTAATAACTTCCCAGATCAGAAACTGCAGCATTGTTCAGTTGAAAATTCCTCTTTTCATTATCAAGGAGTTCTTTATACAGCACAGAAGTACTTATAGTTTGATCAAAAGTTCCCTTCTGAGATTTAAAGAAGAGGAATTCAGCCCAAGAGTGCCACTTCCGGTACATTCTACTGTTTGAGTAGTGTGTTTACATACTGTGTCCAAAGGCACATAACATGGGTGATAATGATGAATCAAATAACATAACACTCTTCCATCTGAAAAAGACACTGTGAAATTATTCCACCTTAATATTGTAAAATCTGCAGACAACATTCACCCAGTCCATCAGCAGTTTTACATTTTCTCCATAACATTCATATGAATAAGACCTGCTGGTGTCATAGCAATAGCAATAGCAGTTAGACTTATATACCGCTTCATAGGGCTTTCAGCCCTCTCTAAGCGGTTTACAGAGTCAGCATATTGCCCCCACAGTCTGGGTCCTCATTTCACCCACCTCGGAAGGATGGAAGGCTGAGTCAACCTTGAGCCAGTGAGATTTGAACCGCTGAACTGCAGCTAACAGTCAGCTGAAGTGGCCTGCAGTACTGCACTCTAACCACTGCGCCACCTTTGGTCATTTCTTTGGGTCATTTCCCATGCTGTTAACACATTCCAAATCAGGACTTTTTAATTTTGTAATTTGCATGTTTTTCTAGCTCAAATCTTTGGCTAAATGGATTTCACTTTCAAATTACCTGAGAAATAAATGGCTCAAGGAGAAGAGTAGGTTCAACATATTCTAATTCCCCTTGGAGAAAGAACAACAGAGCACCCATTTCTTGGGTATCCAAGCATAAAGTAATCACTAGGTAACCAATGGAATTCTTTGTTCTATAGCCTACAATGGGGGTTTTTTAAACCATGGTTTGAGTCTCCCAAGATGCAAACAATTTGGGAAGGGTGTCCCAAGCTCCATCTTGTGCACCAATTGCATTCCTTTTGGGACTTTGAGGCTCTGTTTGGAATCACTTGTGTCTTGGCGGACTACTGCATTCCCAATCCTGCAATGCACTTTACATGGGACTGCTCCGGAAGAGCATCCCGAAGCTACAGCTGGTACAGAATGCAGCGGCGCAAGCAGCTATGATCACTCCTTGATCAATGCATGCTGCACTTCTGCTTTGCAAGCTGCCCTGGCTGCCAATATTCTTTCACGTTCAGTCCATGGTGCTGCTTGTAACCTAGAAAGCCCCTTATGGCATTGGGCCAGGAGGAACCATCTCTCCCTGTTTATGTCCACTATCCCATTAAGTCTGGTAGGAGGCGTGCTCTGGGTCCCATCTCTATTACGGAGTGCCATTTGGTGGGGCCGAGAGAGAGAGCCTTTTGGTCACTATGCCCACTTTTAGGAATATCATCCCTCCCCTCATCCCAAGATTAGTCTTGAGTTTGTCATCCTTTTCTAAGCTATAAAGATAGGGTTCTGTCACCAGGCCTGGGAGGCAGGATGTGTGGCTGAGTGCATACAATGGTTGGGGTGTGTCAATTCGTTTTTGATGAGTTTGATTTTACCCCAACTGTGGTTTATATGTGTGCTGCCATTTCTTGGTTTTTATTCATTCATTCATTCATTTTATTTATTTATTAAATTTATATGCCACCTGTATCACTATCAAACAAGTTTTGATGTTGCTGTTTTCAAAGACTATTATCAGCCACTCAGAATCATGACTTGGGTTGGACAGCCATATAAACTGGGTGAATGAATGAATGAATGAATGAATGAATGAATGAATGAATGAATGAATATTTCTAAAGGTGATTGGGTTTGCACACAAGGCAGCGAGGAAAGCCTAGCAGGAGTTTTGAGAGATAGCGGCTTACTGTTTTGAATTTGCCATACTTTTTTTTTCCTCCTTCAAATTATCTCTCTGTGCTGTATATTGCCCAGAGTCTTATGGAACCGGATGGCTTTCCAAATGCAGCAAATGAATAAATTGCTGACTTGCAAAATTAGTCAGGGCTAAAATGATAAATAGTTGTTTTCTCTCTTGTGAGAATCTTTTTTCTATCCGATGCTGCTGTGATGTAAAGGACTTTTCATATCAATGTTGTGAAACAAGGTAACCACAAAAAAACCCCTACGGTTCCCATTCCTTACCTGCTTCCAAGTGGATATTGGACTATAGAATTACAAATGCTAATGTAGGCAAGCGTTCATTATTATTAGTTTCATTTTATCATAAATTTAGAAAGTGAGCACCCTTCCGTGCATCTTTCGGCTGACCCAGGCAGCATTTTCAAATCGTCTGCTTGAAATAGTTGCATACTGGATGATCATTTTAATGAAATAAGTGTAGGAAAAGGTATTGTTTTGGAATATATCAGAGCAGCAGTTTG